CCCTCGCTCGCGGCGGCGGCGGCCGGGCTCGGCGCGCGGCCGCCGCCCGCCGTCGTCAGCAACGCAGTGGTCGGTAACCCTCACCACCTACCAAACCACCCCAATCCAACCTGAAGGCCTCAAGTTGGCCTCCATCTCCAGTGGGGGGGGGGGCCGGGGAACACTGAAAAAACGCATGGAACCCGTACCCCCCCCCCAACCCGAAATGCGGGTCAAATTCGGGTCTTCGGGTTGGGTTGGGGTGGTCTGGTAGGTAGTCAAACCCCAGAACTGGATGGCCATCTCGGGCCCCGCGCGGGGGGCCGCCAACTCGATCTTCAAAATACGGAACCTCCGCGAAGCACGTGTTGGGCATGCGTTTTGCCCCGGGTGGGTCTGGCCAAGCGTTTCCCACAGCTCAGATCGACAACCCAGTGGGCCAACTGCTGGGCACATTGCGCCTTCATCACTCGACGCCGTAACACCCGAACAATGGCTTTGACGTCCTGCATGGGAGAGCATGTGATGGCGCTCTTGGGTGCCAGCTGCAAACCCACGTCCTCGAGCACGTCGTGTACTGCTGTGGCCCCATCGATGAGGGACTCACGTACAAACTGGCTGGAGCCAACCACTGTCTGAGACAATCGTCGATCCACAATCGCTCCGGTAACGCTGGGTGGGCCACTGTCAGACGTTCCAGCACCAGACACTCCTGTATGATACTCCACGTGGCCTGGGAGGGTAGCGACACTGCGTCGCCCTGGTCCAGCATCCGCGGAGCAGCACATATCTGTATTTCTAAGCCCAGCATCGCAGCTGAGAGCCCGTATCTGAAGGCACCCTTGACCAGAGTACCCCACTCCATCATGTCGTAGAAGCTCTGTATGTCGGCCAGGGCGGGGCCGTTCGACATCTTGAGCCTGGTGTAGAGATCGTCCTCCAAGCCGCGTCCCGCGCTGGGGCGTCGGCCTGGGGCCATGCCTGGACAATCGGCTCGCGCGCCATCGACCACGCCCTACACAGCGCACAGGTCAGGCCGATCACCCGAAACTGTCCTTCCGTCTTCTTGGGTAGCAATCTACCCAAACACCCAGCATTTGCCATGGCCAGGTCTGTCACCCCTCGAACATATTGAATAGTTGTGCCAACTCAGCCAATGCTTCGTCTGGCAATCGTTCGAGGTCGAGCGGCGATAAGCGGTCGACCCCTTGTCCCGCGCGCGCCTTCATGGCGCGGGGCGCACGGCGGATGTCGTCCACGTCGAGCGGGTCCAAGGGCTCCGTGCGCGCGCGGCTGTGGACGCAATCGAAGATCCTCCTCACCTCGGACCTGATCTTGTTCTCCCTGGACGCCCATAGCTCCTGCCAGTGGGCCGCGCGGTGATCGGCCAAGTCGCATGGGTGATACAGCACCTGGTCTCCCAAGTCAATCTGGTCGTCCAGGTGCGGAACCTCCTTGGACGCTCTGGAGATGGCCCCCGAGGTGGAGTTGTCGGCAATCCAAGCCTTGAGCTCTGCCATGGATGCTGGCGCCGCTCGGTTCCGCGCCCCCCCCTTCCCCCCGCAATGGCAGCGGCCTCGACACTGAACCTCTCGGTGCCCGAGCGAGATCCTGTAACAGCTGCTGCCAAAGCGTCCATGATGAAGAGGAAGGGCCTGGTCCAACGCACTCCTGAGCTCTGCCAGGCACCTGGGAGCCTAAATCTCGGAGCAGCGTGCGCGAGCCCCCGAAGCTGATCAGCCCCATCTCCTGTTGGTCCAGGCTCACTTATCTTACTCAAAACAACCTGTCCTTCCTCCCACCAGTTGACAGCCGCGCCCTTGAACGGCATGAGGAGGAGGAGGAGGAGGACGAGGAGGAGGAGAAGTCTGAGGGAGGAGGAGGCGGAGGAGGAGGAGGAGAGGAAGAGGAGGAGAGAGGAGGAGGAGGAGGAGAGGAAGGAGGAGGGGAGGAGGAGGAGGAGGAGGAGGAGGGGAGGAGGAGGAGGAGAGGGAGGAAGAGGAGGAGGAGGAGGAGGAGGGAGGAGGAGGAGGAGGAGGGAGGAGGAGGAGGGAGAGAGGAGGAGGAGGAGGGAGGAGGAGGAGGAGATCACGAGGGTGCTGGGACTGGTGCGCTCTCTCGAGCCGCGCGCGCGGGCCCTCGCGCCGCGAGGGCCCCCCCCCCGGACTGCACGGGGTCCTGCGCGCCTGCCCCCGCCGTGGCGCGCGCTGCCCCGACGGTGGCGACATCCATGCAGCGAGGGCACCTCGGGCCGGACGACAGGGGGGGATTGGGAGAGGGGGGGTTCCTCCTCCTCCTCCTCCTCCTCCTCCTCCTCCTCTCTCCTCCTCCTCCTCCCCTCCTCCCCCTCGTCCTCCTCCTCCTCCTCCTCTTCCACCTCCTCCTCCCTCCCTCCTCCCCTCCTCCTCCTCCTCCACCTCCTCCTCCTCCTCCCTCCTCCTCCCTCCTCCTCATCCTCCGCCTCCTACGAAATTTGCTGCATGCAGCTGGTTTCGGCCTCACCGATGGGCCCATTCCTCGATACATGGCCGCCTCTGGCGCCGGGAGGCGCCGGGAAAATCAGCTTCGTGAGCAGATTCTCAAACCCCCCCTTTGCTCCCCCCCTTTCGCCCGACCCGAGCACCGCTCACGCTGAGGACATCCGCTTTCCCCGCATCATCTGAAAACGAGTCGCGGATGGGTGCCCAAACTCGATCAAGGGGGACAAACAGTGACATAAACATGACAACTCGGAGGTCCGCGCGGATTTCTCGGATCGGCGCTGGGGCCCCCTCGGCGGCGCCTCCGGCGCCGCCCCTGGCGCGCTCCGCGCGCCAGGGACGGGGGTCCAGCGCCCGATCCGAGAAATCCGCGCGGACCTCAGAGTTTTTATGTTTATGCCACTTTTTGTTCCCCTATCGATCAAGGGCGCGCACGTGGAAGCCCGAGGTGAGAGAGGGGGGGGGGACAGAGGGAGGACAGGTGGGTTCCTCAAAACTGGGCTCGTCAGCCCACGGTCCCACCTCATCGCCCCAAGAACCCACATGGCACCCCTCCCACACCTCTGGGCCATGAGAGGGTGCCTCATGGGGCGCCCCACCACAAATTGGACCCTGGGCGGTGGGGGCAGCATTCCGACTAGCTTTGGAATCTGCGACAAGATCTCCGAGCAACTGCCCAGCACGCTCCAGTTGCTTTTCGCGCGCTGAGCCCTGACGCACCGCCTGCGCACGCCGTTTTTTGGGCGACTTCGAGCCAGGGGTCCCCTGCGTTTGTGGGCGGGAGACCTCGGCCAGCCGCTGAGGTAACATGGGGAAATGGGCGATCAACTGCTCTCCCGCCCCCCGAAGTTGCAAAACTATACCGCCGTGCGGTTTCCAAGGGACATCGCGAATCGCTTGGAGCCCCGAGACGCGCGGGGCGTCCGCTCTGGACCCTAACGCACAGTCAACGTGAGACGCCCCTTGAGCTCCGACGCACGGCGCTCTTGGCAGGAGCCTGCAGCGCTGACGCGCCGATCCTGGATGGGAAGCCGACGCGCTGGAGCTCCGACGAGGGAACGTTGAGACATCGCCCAAGACAATCCAGGGGAGTTGCAGGGTCCGCAAAAGAGTGCCGAGCCGAGCGAATCTGGCTAGATGTTCGGCGCGAATGCCGAGACCACATCTGCCGCAAAGAGACACCGACCACCGTGCTGTAGCCATGCGGATGGACCACAGCCGGCAGTCGCTCCCCGGAGCGACCGCCGCACAGGCCGTGCGCGTGCCTGCGGCCCTGCGTGTTTGGTTTGGTTTGTTTTTGTCCCTTGAGGGTTCTGTGTGGTTTTTGGCGGTGTCGTTGAGGGGGCCGCGGTGTCGTCGTCGTCGTGGTCTTCGTCCGTGTTTCGCCCCTGCGGTCGTCGGGCGTGGCCGCCGCCGCCGCCGCGCCGAGAGGACGCGGGCGTGCCTTGAGTGTTCTTTGTTTTTGGCATCTTCTTCTGTTCTGTGGTCTCTTTGTTTGGTGTGTTTCATTCCTCGCTTCTTGTTTGCATTGTTTTTTGTTTTTTGTAGTAGGAATAGACAGAATCACCGCCCCCCCCCGTCGCTCGAAGCTTGCCTGACTCGGTGCGACGCTGAGTTCCTGCATCCCGCGCGGCATGGGACAGGAATCTAAGTTTGTGTTGGCGTGCAAACTTGCTCAACGTGTTGGTCGCATGCGATCCTGCGCGCGTTTGACAAATGGTGAAGGACTGAAAGGCCTTTCCGCAAGCAAGATGCATCAGGTGATCCAAGGCCTTGCGACCGATATCTGTGATCTTCGAAAAAATTATCGGGACCATTTCATTGTCCCTTGACAACGACGATGGCTGAGGCAACGCAGCATCGCCACCTGCCGTCGTACCCTCGAGCCAAGCTGCGGCTGCTCCGCTCTCGGCCCTGTTGGCACTCCTGCAGCTGCCGGTGCTGTCGTACCTTGAGACGTCGACGGCAGCTCTCCAGCGGCGGCCGAGGCGGCCGCCGATGGGAGCGGCCCTGGCCCCTGCTCCCCCCATGCTGATGGTGGCGGGGCGTCGCAAGAGCCGCTCGGCCTCGCGCGCAGGCGGCCGCCGCGCCTCCCCGCCTCCGCGCCCGCTGTCCGAGGCCGCTGCAGCCTCGGCCGCCTGGGCGGCCTGCGACGCCTGGGCCGGCCGGGGTGGCGGCGGCTGCCTGCGCCGCTGCCGCCTCGGCGCCGCGGCTGCGCGCGATCTCGGCGCTCACGCACTCCTGGGCCGTCATCGAGACGGGGAGCCTCCTCCTCCTCCTCCTCCTGCTCCTCCTCCTCCTCCTCCTCCTCCTCCTCCTCCTCCTCCTCCTCCTCCTCTCCTCCTCCTCCTCCTCCTCCTCCTCCTCCTCCTCCTCCTCCTCCTCCTCCCCCTCTCCTCCTCCTCCTCCCTCCTCCTCCTCCTCCTCCTCCTCCTCCTCCTCCTCCTCCTCCTCCTCCTCCTCCTCCTCCTCCTCACGAGACTCCTCATCCGGTGCGCCTATCGCTGCGGGGGCCCCCGCCGCTGTCGGCGTGGCTTGGGCCTGACCCGCGGCAGCTTCCCCCGCGTTCTGCGACGCGCCATCGGCCCCCCGGCGCTTCTTGGCCATCCTGGTGGACAGCTCGCTCTTCAACGCCTCCATGCGGGTGCGCCACTCTCGCGCCTTCCCGCCCTGCTCGCCTAGGTAGGACTTGGCCGCGACCAGATCCTTCTCCAGCTGCAGCAGCTCCTTCTTCTCCGCGCCTTCGCATTCGAGGGTGCCGTCCCGAAGGAATTCGAAGAAGGAGGCTTCTTCTTCTGGAGTTCGATCTTGGCCCCGCACTTGCACTTGCAATCCCGCTGAATGAGGATCGCGTGCCACTCGCACACAGAGCATTTGGGCAACGAGTGTAGGCACCGTCTCCGCCGCCACCCTTGGCCATCGTCGGTGCAGCAATCCCGTGATGGCTCTCCAGGCGGCTGATTTCCACTTCGCGCCTCAGGCGATGCCGAGACACTGCCCTGTGCCGCCTCTCGCGGCGATGCCACGCAGGCGAGCGAGAGCGCGGCTGCTCGCCCGTCCCGCTGAAGCGCCCCTCGCACGGGGCTGGGGTCGTGGTCGATCAGGCTGTTTCCCAAAATGTGTGCCTCGGACCAGAGCGCCTTGGGGCGGAAGTCAGGGGGGCCAGGAGGGAGGAGGAGGGAGGACGGAGGAGAGAGGAATACGCTGAGCCTAGCCCTCCAAGTGCCACGCGCGCTGGCCGTCCCAGGCGTCGCGCGTCGAAGATGCGTGCGGCTCCGGCCGCGCCCATGTGCCCAGCAGGTTCTCGGCCGTCTTCAGCTTTCTCAGCGCAGTGCAAACATGCATGTACAGCAAGGTGCCAGTGGGCATCCATCATCTTCCTCCTCGTCAAGATCATCAGCATCATCATCAGCGTCATCATCACCATCATCATCATCACCCTCATCATCCTCATCATCATCACCGCCATCATGGGAATATGTCGTTTGGTTCGTCCTGCATAGTCTGTTCTAGTTCATGGGAATATGTCGTTGTTGTTCGTCCTGCATCCCGGTCTCATTGGTCGTCCTCTTTGTCATGCATCGTGAATGAACCACAGACACGGTCAACCAGCGCAGCTGGAGGCGCGCGGGTGCAATGCACAGCGGCTGTTCTTGCCCAGTCTCATTTGGAGATCCGCATTAACAAGTGGTGAACCAAGCTGAGGCCCCCCTAGGGCGGGGCTCGGGGAGAGGAGGAGGAGGAGCAGGAGGAGGAGGAGGAGGAGGAGGAGGAGGAGGAAGAGGAAGAGAAGCAGGAGGAGGAGTAAGAGGAGGAGAAGGAGGAGGAGGAGGAAGAGGAGGTAGAAGAGGAGGAGGAGGGGGAGGGGGGGGATCCCTGGGCGGCCCCGTCGTTGGCTGAGCTTGTCGATCACCTGGCCAGCACCATTGCGGTTAGTGCTTGCCAGGTCCAGCGCATCGGCATCACCCAGCCGCATTTTGTACTGCGTTCGCGTCGTCCCCGCAGGCACGGACGACGCGCGCTCAGACACGTCTTCTCAGTGCTACGTCGTGCCTGCCTTTCTACAGGAGGAATATTCAGAAATGGTCACAAAATAGTATGTGGGACGATTGTTTGACTATGTTTGAACATTTTGGAGCATTGTTTGCGTATTTTTAATTTGTCCTCTAAGATCCGCCTGTAGGGGGACCCGCCCGACCTAATATGAGCACATGCTTGGTGTCGAGCGCTTGCTGGCCACACCGCCCGGGCAACGATTCGTCAAACGTGCAGCCAGCCCGCATAGCAAAGACGAGGACCCCAGATCTCACAACTAAAAAAAACCTGGCATCGCTCGGGCGTGTACTTTTTTTCCTCGGCGAGGGCCATCGAGGAGCATCCTGGACTATCGAGCCCAAAAAAACACGCACGAAATAAAAAAATGCACGGGAAACGGACGTCCGAGCGACGGCAAGAAAAAGGGAGTGGGTCACAACCCTCCCGGGCGCGAAGTTCTAGACTCCCCGGACCATCCATGAGAGGGCGGCCCTATGCCCAGACCCCCCCCGAACCTTCCAAGACAGCGCGAATCAGACCCCCTCCCGAATTGTGACCCCCCCCACTTTCTCATGGAATCCGGAGTAAGTTTCAAGGTGGCCCTACAGTCGGACTTGACTGGAGAGGACACGCGAGAGGACACAAGACCCTTCCGAGGGCCACATCGCCATAGGAGTGTAGGAAGGCACGTGTCGCGAGGCACAGGACACAAGGGTGCCCTTGAGCTTGCAGGGCCGACCTATGAATCCGGGCCGACTGTGGCATCCTTCCCCTCCGTGCCATCCCTGGCCGCTTTCTCTGGCCGTTCCCCGCTCGCAGAGTGTCGACGTGGCCTTCCAAGGCCCTTGCAACCTCATCGTGTGTCCTTACTTCTACGGGTTGACCGGAACATGTCCGTGATGTCTGTTCGGTTCGGCCGTGTTTTCCCAAGGGTTGGTGCACAGTGCGCAGTACTAGTACCTATACGACCACCCTGCGGGTGATAAGGAGGTTGGGGTGGGAGGGGGCCAGCAATCGATCTCACTATTCATTCTCAGTATCGATCATCCTATCGATCTCACTATCGTTCTCACTATCGGTCTCATCGATCTAACTATCGATATCATTATTGATATCACTATCGATCTCAGCACGTGAATCCACGGGAATCCGACGGGACACCGATGGGACACCGACGGGACACAATCGATCTCACTGTCGATCTCACTATCCATCCCACTATCGATCCCACTATCGATCTCGCTATCGATCTCACTATTCGGGCGAAGAGAGTTATGCACATGCACCGATCCTGGCAAGGCCCATCCTTGACCCAGGATCGGTGCATATGCTGTCCTGGCAACGGTAGGGGGGCGTATGCACCGATCCTGGGCTCAGGATGGTCCTGGTCAGAATCGGTGTGTGTGTGCGTTGTTTTTTTTCCTCTATCGATCTCGCTTTCGATCTCACTATTCATCTCACTATCGATTCCACTATCGATCTCGCCATCGATCCCACTCGATTGATCTCGCTGTCGATCTCACTATCGATCTCACTATCGATATCAAGATCGAGCTCACTATAGATCTCACTATCGATCTCTCACTATCGATCTCACTAGCGATCTCACTATCGGTCTCATTATCGATCTCACTGTCGATCTCACTATCGATCTCACTGTCGATCTCACCACGGGACACCCCTGGACACCGCCCGGCCCAACAAGCCACCGGCGGACGGGCGCACGGACTTTCGCTCCTACTTCGGCCTAGCTACAGGAGGATCACGCGCAGCTTCGCCTCGCCCGCACGCGCGACACGAACACGAAACCGAAACCGATTTCCCGGTGGGGGGTCTCCGTTTCAATGCGATCTCACCCCCCAACCTCCGATGTCCTTCTGCGTCCCTGCCCCTGCTGCTCCTTGCCGTCTTCCTCCTCATCCCGCCGCCCTTCTTCCTCCGCTCCGAGCGTCCCTGCTCCTCCACTTCCTCCTGCCGCTCCCTCGTCCCCCCCCTTCCTGTTCCCCTCCCTCCTCGCTCTCTCGCTCTCTCTCTCTCTCTCTCTCTCTCTGTTTGCATGTTTATGTGTATATATATATATATATATATATATAGATCCCGCCCCCCTCCTTACCGCACCGCGATAGGATCTATTCCATTACATTATATGTCTCCTCCCTCCTCCTCTGCCCTCCTTTTCCTTTGGAGTGGACGTTGTTAAACTGCAGCGGCGATTGGGATTGTCAAGCTTGCACTTCGGTGTCAAGGTCGAGGTGGCCTTCCGCCGTTGGGTGTAGCACGGCCCCCAGGCGGAAGTATTTTCCAGTCGTCAGGCGGGAGGCGCACCAATGGGACGTTGCGGGGCCTTGTCGTATTCGGGGCTTGGGCGCCGAGTACGTGGTGGTTGCGCTTCGCCTCGGGTGCGTTTCCCTTGTGACTCTCTGGGTAAGCAAAACAGTCCAAGAAGCAGTCCCTCTGCCGCCTCCTCCTCGCCCTCGTCTGCCCCCTGATCGTGGACGATCCCTGCCAGAGCAGCGGGATGCTCCCCTGCTCCCCCCCCCTACGCGGTCTTCCCCGCTGCAGTTCCCCCTGAGAATCCTCGCGGGGGCCCCGCTGGCGCGCGCGAAGGTGGCGTCAACAGCGCCCACTTCAGGGTCGCTGGCATCGACGCCGACACTGCCATCGCGTGCTACACGGCGTCGGAGGCTCGGGACCGGGAGCAGGTTCGGAATGATTTCATGGGAGTCCGACAAGGTTTGTTGGTGGGTCGCGTTGCATTTGCTTGAACTTGTTCACCCCGTTTGTGCCCAAGATAACGGCATAAACAGAAATGTTCGACAGTCCGCGCAGATGTCTTGGATTCGCGCTATGCCCCCCCCTGGCGGCGCCTCCAGCACCGCCCAGGGCTTCGAACGCGCGAATCCAAGAAATCCGCGGGGACCGCCGAAAGTTTAGGTTTCTTCCGTTTATTTGTTCTTGTGCTGTATCTGATTCAGCAACAGATGAAGTTATGACAGGAGTTTTGGGTGGCCGGTTCGCGGTTTGGTTGGGCGGTCGGTTGGTTGTTTGGTCGGATGGTCGGGGTTTGTTTGGTCGGTCGGTTGGTTGATTGGTTGGGCTATTGGTTAGATGATTGGTTGTTTGGTTGGTTTGTTGGTTGGTTGGGCGGTTGGTTGTCTGGTTGGTTGGGATCTTGTTTGCGTTTGATTGGTTGGTTGGTTGGTTGGTGGGGCGTTGGTTGTTTGCCCAGCTGGGTTGTTTGCCTCGTTTGCTGCCCAGCTGTTGTTTCGGGGGGGGGATGTCCTGAGGCGGAGAACACAGTAGTCAGCTCCACTCGTCACATGGCAAGAAGCGCGGCGGAACAAATGCCGGAACATTCGGCTAGTCACATGGCAGCGCAGACGAGCGGAGCAACAACTGTTCCACTCTCCGCATCACAAGGCAACGCACGTGCGGCGGGCAACTTATTATTCGAATCGACTCGCCAAGTGGCATCGCGAAGACAGCAACACATTATACCCCGCTCTTCGCGTAGAAACGCAGCGGGGGGGGGGAAGTACCACTATAGGCACACGAAGGAAAGCTGGCCTGTCAGCAGGTTTCGCACGATAAATCACTTCCCCTCAGTTGGCCAGAGATCCAATGGGCACCACAAAAAGTCCCAGGCTGGCGAATGATGCGCCCCTGCAGCTCTTATCACGAGAGTCTTCTTCGCGTGTGTACGCTA